CTGGGGCTGGCCTCCGAGCGGGGCTGCAGCCCGCGTCCCCCACCCCCCGCTTTCCCTGCCCCGTGACCCCGGGGCTGCCCTCCTCTCCCTTTCCCGCTCCCTGAGGACCAGCTCAGCGGCGTGGGCGCTGCTCCCCGGGCTGACTGTCACCAGCTGTAAAGCCCAGCTTCTCCTGGTGGAGTCGGGGAAAGGGAGCGCCAGTGCTGAGCGAGCTTCCATCTCCTCCCTCAGTGTTTCTGCCCCAGGTAAGTTCCTTGAACACTTTCAGGTGTTACGATGGCGGTGCTTATTGATGTCACGTGTTTTTATACTGAGAGGGATTACAGTGTTTAAAGCTAGGCTTTGTTCAGTTAAAAATGAGCTGAAGGCATGAGGCTGTGATATCCTCCTTCCTTCCCTGTCCCTGGGTGAAACGTGTGACCGTAGATCATAAAAAGATAGTTACAGTCCCTAACTAGCCCAGCCCAGCTAGTGTGTGTTAACAGGAACAGCACCACCAGAGGCGTTGGAGACCCACGGACATTGCAGTCCTAAAGAGCTCCTGGCAAAATCTGGTTTGTTTTGTTTTTTTTGTTTTTCTTAAATTGTGGGGCAGACTAGTTGTATAGAGTAAAAAATAATTGTCAATAAATATTTTTTCATATAACAGCTTTATTGTGATATTGTTCACGCACCATGAAGTCCACCAACTTAAATGATACAATTCAGCAGCTTTTAGCATATTCACAGTGGTGCAACCATTATTATTCCAGAACGTTTTCATTACTTCAGAAAGAGCAGTGGAAATGAATGACCTATCCACCCCTTCCCAGTGGTCGTTCTAAAGAAGTTTCTTGTCTGTTCCTGAGCATAAATTAACTTGTTACATTCCATGAAAAATCTGGTAGGAATTCTAGTCAGAATTGCATTGAAACTGTCTATCAAAGTAGGAAGAATTAGTGTCTTTATGGCATAAACTTCTTCTATCCATGAATATATCTGGGACCCTATCTTTTCATCTCTCCAGAGCCTGGCCCATGGAAAGTCCTCACTAATTGTTGGGCTTGTGAATGATGAGATTCTATACATCGTTAGTTGCAACTGTAGCCTTTCACAGGAGAGAAAAATAACCTCAGTGAAGCCAAGTGACTGATGATCAGAAAGGGTGACAGTCAGTGCTGGAGTGATCCAGTGGACTTGGTGCTAGCAAACAGAGTTCTCCACCACCTACAGCTAAGGGGATTACAGTGTTTTTTACTTTTTTTTAATGGCATTGCTTTATTTTTACTTATTTCTTAAAATTATTTTTTATTGAAGTTTAGTCAATTTACAATGTTAGTTTCAGATGTACAGCAGAGATTCAGTTATAAACATATGCATATGTATATACATATGTTTTAGGTTGTTTTTAGTACAACTCATTACAAGAAATTGAATATAGTTCCCTGTGCCATATAGTAGGTCCTTGTCATTTAGTTTATATTTATTAATGTGTATCTGTTAATCCTCCCTTTCCTGCCTGCTAAACACAGTTTGCTTTCTATGTCCATGAGTCTATTTCTAGCAGCACCAATTTTGCTAGTAATATATGCTGGTTGGCTACTTTCAGATTCAGTAATTCCATCTTATCTGTGGGCGTTTTTCCTCTGGTGGGCCTGTGTGTGGTTTGCACACGTGATAATAGAGATCTGTATTTGTGACAACTCCAGGCCTCGTGTAGTCCCTGGTATGGAGCGCCCACTGAGCTGATGCTTGAACTGGGAAAAAAAACATAGTAAGTGTTGGAATTTCCACTATGGTTGAGACTTCCTGTTTTCCATGACCTGTTTAGCCCACCTTAATTTTGGCTGCACCCATACTGGGTAATTTGGTGGAACTTCATGGTATGGTGGTGTAGAGACAGGGCCTTGTATGCTTCTTCTCTTTCCTTTTTCTAACACTCATTCTCCTGGGCCTCCCAGATCCTCCCCCAGAAGTACCCAGGGCTGGCTTGGTGCTGCGCTGAGGCAATATTTGTTAAGAAGGCCCTTTCCTCATCTCTTCTGAGCCTCCGTTTCCTTCTCTGCACAATCAGGGCTTAGACTAGGTAAGTGCTTTTCAGTTTCTTTTAAAGCCATGTTTCCTTTGAGAAACAGAAAATGCAAATCTCTCCTCCCATCCCAACCATTTAGATTTTGATAAGTCCTCCAAGGAGTGACATAGCAGTTTGTGGAAAATTGATGTGATTGTGATTCCAGGTGGCACAGAAAAGACTCTTCAGAGATTTATTGCAGTGAGAGGGCAGGAAAGGGGCAGTATGTCACACTTTCTAGTGTGAGTACTGGAGCAGGGGATTGGGTTTAAATACGGTGTCTGACGTGGCCTCTCTCTAATCTTGTACAATGTGATAAACCTCTCTCCCTCAGTTTCTTTTTTTTCTTTTTCCTCAGTTTCTTAATGTGTCAAGTTGAGGTGATAATATTTTAAGGCTTTTGTGAAACATTATATACATAAGCCATTTGTGTCTCGGTAGGTACAAGACCTGCTACGGAGTCAGGGATTTCTTTTAAAAAAATAAAATCTCGTCCAGAGCACTCTGTGTGTATTTTGAAGATCCTGGAGGGTGAGGATTGAGTCTAAAGTCCATCGTGGTACAGGTGGCCCGTGGGTCTGTGTGCCCCAGATTGCCCCCTCCTCCTCAGTCCTCTTCCTCTCAGTCCAGGATGAAGTTCCCTAGTAGATTTACACAGAGGTCTTTTGGAAATGGCTTTTCATTTTATTATTTCACCAAGGAGGGCTGCCATCATGATCTCTGTGGTCAGGTTTTGGTGACCTAAAGGCTATGCAATTGGGGATTTCTATTTAATAAAAAGAAAAAGAATTAGAAGTACAAAATTAGACCTAGGGTGGTGGCAGGGGCTCTTGGAAGTGGAGACCATTAGCTTTGTTAGCTTCAGGTGCAGTGGCCTCGAGCCACAAGGACCCATCCTTGTGCTCTGAAGTTGGAGGGACCAGTGGGTTCAGTGGGAAAGTTTACTGCGTATATCTCATGGGCTGGGCATTGTCCTATTTGTACTCTGTGTTCCTTATTTGAGACAGTGAGCTCATTTAATCTCAATAGCCTCTTTAAATAATTAGGCTTTTTATTTTGAGATTTGATGTAGATTCCCATGTAGTTGCAAGAGATAATATGGAGTGGGCCTCTGGACTCTTTGCCCAGTTTTCTTTAATGGTTCCATTTTGCAATGTTGGGGTACAATTCATTACTGACTCACTAACCCTTTGAGGTTTGTGTTATTGCCCTCATTTCTATTTATGATTAGTCTGGGGTTTAGGGAAACACACAGGCCTGCTCAGGTCACCCACATGGTTAGTGTAGAGTCGGGTGAAACGTGGGCTTGGGATTTCCAGGCAGTACCATTATGATTGTCTGTGGCAGGGAGCAGCATTCACTTTGCTTGTTTATTCATTCATTCAACAAGCATTTATTGAGTAAACTCTGTGGGTCAGATGCTTTCATAGGGTTATCTGATTCTTCAGCAGTATGGAGAATCAGGTAACGTTTTCTTTTTTTTTTAATTTGAGAAAAATAGCTCTGAGAGGTTATAACCCCCCCAAAGGAAATATAGCTCATAAATGAGGGATAGTAAATTTGTACAGTTCCTTTTTCTTATGCAGGTGGTACCCTAGGCATTTTACATTTGCAAACTTCCATAATCTAGATATATTCTTGTAAGGCAAGGATTTTTTTTAATTGAAGTATAGTCAAGTTTACAATGTTGTGTCAATTGCAAGGTGTTTTTTTTTTGAATTTTGAATTAAAAAATATTTTTTGAGGAGGGTAATTAGGTTTATTTATTTGTTTCATTTTTTTTAAATGAGGTACTGAGGATTGAACCAAGGACCTCGTACATGCTAAGCATGTGCTGTACCACTGAACTGTACCCTCCTCCACAAAGCAAGTATTCTTATCCATTAGTCTGTAGCTTAGGAGTTCAAATAAATTGGAGTTGAAATCCAGGTGTTTTGATCCCACTATGGTTCTTTGCATTATATCCTGCTGAGGGGTGGGGAAGCAGTTCCTTTATTCATTCCTTTATTCAGCAGTTTTGAGCACTGACTTTGCATCAGGGCCGGGCTAGGTGCTTGGAAACAGAAAACAAGAAATGACCCTTCTCTGCAGGGGCCGGAAGCCTAGACCAAAAGCTGCGTAATGTGATCTGAGCTATGATAGCCATGTGCAGACGCTGAGAACAAACTGTAACCCCGATTTGCTTGGGCCTCCCCTGCCTTCTGACTGGTACACACCAGGTCACCGCAACCCAGTGAGGCCCGCAGCCCGCAGCATAGTATGTACCTCGGTCTCCTCTCCCCACTCGGCAGGGCCTGCAACATGAGCATCCCTGACTACGTGTAGTGTGCTGAGGACCACTAGACTCTCCCCGTGGTGGTCCAAGCCGTTGGGATCATCTCAGAGGAGAATTTCTTTTGCATCTATAATCGAATCTCCTTGGTGAGCCAGATCAGCCCGTGTGGCTCCCAGTGGGCACTCTGTATCCACTACAGGCACCACTATGCGCCCGAGAATGGGTGGAGCGACTTCCAGACCCACCGCAAGGTCGTGGGCCTTGTCACCATTACCGACTGCCTCTTGGCCAAGACCTTCTAGAAGCTCACGTGCAGAGGAGCTGTGTGGCACCACGCTTAATGTCTCTCAGCTCTTTGTCTTTGTGCTGCATTGGAAGGTAGTCAAACAGCCGTGCACTGACGTGGCCTTCAAATTATGAGGACTGCATGGTGGTGCAGAAGAGGTTCAAGGACTTCACTGAGTCACTCTTCATCATGCTCAAGACCAAGTGGCTGGACGGGGCACCCGACAAGTCTGGGGACAAGATCCCACTCCTCTACAACCTGTTTGAGAAGGAGGACTTCGTGGGACTGGACACAGACAGCAGGTAAGTCTACCTGGAGGCCCGGCCACCCTGGCTGTGTGAAGGGTTGCTTCCGTACATCCAGAAAGGGATCAGCAAGGAGGAGGGCTGTCTTGTAGCCAAGGCGGGAAGGAGGTGCAGCCCGCCGGTTTTCAGACGTTTAAAAGTGAATCCGCCTTTGATTCAAAGAGATCCTTTTAGGGTTAGTATGGACACTTACTCCCCCTTTTCAGCCAGGACCCTTGGTGGGACCCCTGGAGTTGATGTCCAAGAGAGTAGCCACATCCACTGATGCTATAAGCGCTGGGGAGGAGGCTGCTCTG